TCATTTTGGTTTTTGAGTCTTCTCTTTTTTTTTTTTCTTAGTTAATGTTAAAGCATTGCCAATTTTGTTTATTTTTTTGGAAAAACTAGTCATTACTTTCAATGTTATGTTATTGTTTATTCTGGACTCTATTTTATTTATTTCTGATTTTTTCCTTGTTATTTCCTTCCTCTAGTAAATTTCAGCCAAGTATCATCTTTTTCTAGTTCTTTGTGGTGTAATGTTGTTAATTTGAACTTTTCCTCTTAATACAAGCATTTATAGCATAAATTTCACTCTAACATCTGCTTTTGTTGAATCCCACAGGTTTTGGAATATTGTGTTTTCTTTTTCTTTTGTTTTGAGACATATTTTGATGTGCCATTTGTTTTCTTATTTGGTCCATTGCTTGTGCAGTAGTGTGTTTAATATTTACATATTAAATATTTATTATTTACATTGTAGATTTTGTTTTATTGTTGATCTTTAGCTTTGTACCACTGTGGTTGGAAAGTATACTTGGCATTATTTCAGTCTTCTTAAATTTGTATTAGTCGTTATGTCTCTTTTCACATGTGTACTTGAAGAAAATGTGCATTCTATTTTTCTTGGAAGAATGTTTTATATATATACACACACACACACATATTCTTAGAACCATGTATTCTGAAGTATGCTTCAAGTAAAAATGTTCTTGTTCAAAAAAAATAATAATTACTTTAACTGAGGAAACTCATTTAAAATAAAGCATATCAGAAGGGAGGGGAGGATGGATGAGTAAAATAGGTGAAGAAGATTAAGAGCACACTTATCATGACAAACACTGAGTAATGGTTTATAGAACTGTCGAATCACAATATTATACACCCAAAACTAATATAACACTGTATGTTAACTATGCTGGAATTAAAATTAAAACTTAATAAAAAAATAACATTAGGAAACCATTGGGGAATATCAAAAACAGGAGTAATTCTAAATATAAGAATTATTGAAGCAGAGGTCAAGAAAATGAGAAAGTGAATTAAATTCAGGATGTTGAGTTTCAAAATACATTTAAGTATATAGTAGTAACTTTGTAAGTGCATTTGGATGTTTTGCCTATTCTTTAACGTGTCTGAAGTGGTCACAATAACAAATTACAAACAAATGTGTAATTCAGAAATAAATTTTTATGGGAACTTAATTGATTGCATAATTGGTCAAAAGTTTCCAAAAATGGATTTTCACATGTTTATCTACTATGACCTTAATTTTAAAATTGAGTATTAAAAAGATTAAAAAATAAGTAAAATTGAGTATTCCAATGTATGTACAATAAAAAATAGATAAATAAAATGACAAATGGTCTGCATTTTATTATAAAAGTACAGTTATGTTCTGTAACTGTATATCAAACTTGGAAACCATTCTGGAAAACAGTTGGCAGTTTTTATGGAACTACCCCATGACCCAAGGGAAATGAAATTATGTGTCTATAAAAAGTCTTACACACGAATGTCATAATTGAATCATATATTAAGCAGAAACTTGACACAACCCGAATTTCCATCAAAAGAAATATGAATAGGGCGCCTGGGTGGCTCAGTTGGTTAGGCGACTGCCTTCGGCTCAGGTCATGGTCCTGGAGTCCCGGGATCGAGTCCCGCATCGGGCTCCCTGCTCGGCGGGGAGCCTGCTTCTCCCTCTGACCCTCCCCCCTTCATGTGCTCTCTCTCTCTCATTCTCTCTGTCTCAAATAAATAAATAAAATCTTTAAAAAAAAAAAAAAAGAAATATGAATAGACAAATTGTGATATATTCACATAATACAATACTATTCAATAATAAAAAAATGAACTATGGATACACCAAAACTATGGATGAATCTCAAAAATCTTAGGTGAAAGAAGGCAGACAGAAAAGAGTACATATTGTATGATTCCTTTCAAAAGAACTTTAAGATGGAGTTAAACCAATATATGGTGATAGAAATCAGAACAATAATTGCCTAAGGGAACGGGTACAGGAAAACTTTCTGGGGTAATGGAAATGTTCTATATATTGTGATTTGGTTTAGTGACTACATGGGTATATATTACAGTTAATCAAAACAGATTGAACTGTACATTTAAAATCTGTATATTTAATAGTATATAAACATTTTTTAATTAACACACTTTATTCAGAGAAAAAAAGATTATCAAACTACTACCTATATTATTCTTCTCCAATATCTAGTATATACTTTTACATTCAAAGTGACTATAAACACTTCTTAATAGTACATTTTTTCCCTTAAAGACATCTATGTATAAGGAAATTTTCCAAACATTTATTTCTAAAACTTTTTTTTTATCAAGGTATAATTTACTTATAATATTGTACCAGTTTCAGGTACATAATGATTCAACATTCATATACAGTGTAAAATGAACACAATAAGTATAGTTAACATCCATCACCATACATGCATACATATATCATACATGAAACTATATTTTAGATAAGATAATCAACACTTGTAGCAAAATAAGGAAAACCTCTGTTCTAAAATAGGCATTGCTTACAAAAGAGAAAAGGACGATTTTTTTTTAATTATAGCAATTCAAATGAAATTTAGAGTGAAATATTTCCCTTTTCATGTCTTCCTTTATGCTTCATCACTGCTGAATTTCAAAAATATTAATGATGTGATGATTAAAAAAAATCCAAGGATGACAGCCTTTAGAGATATTGATAATAATAGCTGACATTTTCAAAGCACTTTGTGATTTACACAGCTCTTTAATATGGATTGTCTTATTTAATTATCACATCACTCCCTAGGAGTTAATAATAGTATGTATAATTACTCCCAGTTTAACAATAAGAAAACTGAGTTGATAAGTAGCAGAATATTGGAAGCTAGGTATTTGAACCTTAAGTTCAATACTCTTTCCATGGCAATTCTCTTCTCTAGATAAATATTAAGCTTACAGCTATATGATTTTTCTGATTTTTCTAGATACATCATTAAATGCTACCAGTATAATCAGGACAATATATAACATATCTGTAAACCTTACTCTTTTTACATACCAAATATTGGTTATTGTGAGAAAAGTATTTAACATCTACACTTATCTTGCTTTAAGAAACAGTCTTAATCCTGGAAAGGAAAACCTTATGGTAAATTCTATAAAAGGAATCCCATGTTTATTACTAATCCCTATTGGAAAAATATCTTCCAAAGTCAAATTGAAAAACCTGTGTGATAAAACATTACAATGTAGGGCAAACTTATAGCATGACAAAGGTAGTTTTGGTAATATTTTACAAAACTTCATTCTTCATTTTCGAAAATGTAACCAACAGACAGGCTCTAGAGACATGTTTCACCAAAAGGTGTCATAAGAGCCCAATGTGCTTAATATTCATTTAGGCACCTACTAAGGGTCAAGCATCTTTCCTTCAAATTTTCCATGTCAAGGAGATTAAAGCAAATATTTTCCTTTTCCAATCTGTTAAAGTTTAATTACATCAAATAAGATATATTTAGGAGATAATAATCATAACCTTTGAAACTAAAACTATATTTTAATAAATATAGCAAATTTTATATACATTTAGTAATCTGATAGTTTAGTAAACACAAATAAGAATCAGATTTCATTTGAGTGATATCTGTTTTAATTATGTGATAATAATTTGCATAGGTAATAGTTTATATGGTTTTGATTATAGTTATTAAATATAATATTCAATAAACAACCAGTAATCAACAATGATTATTTAATGTCACTATGGCAAAACTCATTGCAAAAAGAGGCTCTATCTATTCAAAAGAAAATTAGCAAACTCAAGCAATAATTCAAAGAAGATCAGCAACTGAAACAGTATGCCAGGCAGCACTCTGAAAAATTTGCTGTGTCAAATTCCCAGTGCATCCATTAGGTGTCTATACAATATCACAGTGAGCATCAGGGCCAACAGTGCAAACCACTTCTGAGAAATGAACTGAGAATAGAGAGAATGCTGGGTCTAGTAACTTACCATTCCATGGATCATCATACACTTTTTTCCAAAATGTAAAATGTCAAACAGTACACCCATAGATAATATGAAACTTATATAACTTGCAAAAACATTTCTATGAGTAATAAGTGAATAAATGATCATACAAATTATCTTTTACCACCACCTTTTAAAAATAGGAGTTTTTAAATTTTCCTTCACTTTGCAATACAAAGTCTTGTTTTTTTACATTAAACGTTTTTACAAAGACCTCAAAAATATTATGTTCTTGTATGGTAGTTCTGCTTATCTAATTTTTTGTTTTGATATGATTCTTTAACAGAGAAAACCGCTCTTTAAGTATGTTTAATAAAAAATAATGAACAAAGCATGAACTTTCTCTACTCCATATCTAAGCATTGATTTTCCATCTAACATTGTCTTAGATGAGTAGACTCATTCCTAGTCAACACATTCACATATTTGTCTATGCAAGAATAAAAGTGTTTATCTAAATTTGTTCGCCAAAAACTACGTCTTCCATTAATTTCAGAAAGAAAGATTAGGCTTCTGTTAAGTTTCTCTTCTATGCATGAATTCATTCTAGGAGATGATGAAATAAGTTTCCTATGGGGAATTTTCAAACACCAAAATTCCTCTAACTAGGAATACACTAGCTCCTTCCTTCCTCTCTGTCTTCTATAATTTTATTATTATTTCAGAAATTAGCTTATCCTCATAGGGGAAGATTTCCACAAACGATGAAAAGATTATCAAAACCATAAGAAAGTGAGTGTTACATAACAAATTAACCATCTCCTATACAACTCCCCGCATTCCACTTTTCCTGGTGGGTTGCAATTGTGAGAGTTCTGATCATCTGTTCAATTAATTTGCTACTGAAGCCTTTCACATTCTTTCCAACTAGAATTTAAATATAATTCAATTCAGAATTAAAGCTCCGGTACATTAACCACAGTTAGCTTCATTCAACTCTTCTATTTAGTCCAAAAGAAAAAAAAAAAGTCATTTAAAAAGTAACATACTCAGCTGCCTGTTTGTAGTGTTTCAAGTCTTTCTTCAAATTTTTGTTCTCATTTTCTAAAAGCATATTCTGCGTGTAGACATCTGGAACATTCCCAATATCTCTAAGTTCAGTTACTCCCTTCTGTATTAACTCATACCTAGGATAAAATCAAACAAAAGGCTTAATGTTGTTTCTTTCTACTAAATTGGTTTAATTTATGTACAATTCAAAAAGTTAAGTCCTAGGGGATATTTATAGAAATGAGTTGTGGTATTACTTTTGTAAATTAAAATGTCAAAATTCATAATATATATTTAAAATTAAAAAAAAAATAATTGCTAGGTACTAATATCATCATGGTACATAAACTATAACTGAACATCTCGTATGTTCCAGGCACTAATCTAGACACTAGTAAAATTAACAAAACAGTCCAAGTCCCCATCCATTCTAGTGTGGAGAGTGCTTATGTTCTGTGAAATAAAATAAAGCAGGATCAGAGGGGGAGACCGAAGTGGAGAGTGATGGGGGCATTTGTGCTATTTTATATAGGCTGAACACAGAAAGTATGACTGGCAAAGTGCTATCTGAGCAGAGAAATGAAAGAAATAAGGAACCAAGTCATGGGGATATGAAGGAGAGGAGCATTCTTGGTTGACAGAAAAGTAAATGTAAAGACCCTGAAAAAAGGAAGTGCATGACATGTACAATTAAAAGCAAAAAGCCTGTATATCTGGAGTATCTGGAGCTGGAGGAAGGGAGAGAGTGGTACGAAATGGGTCAGGAAGACAGCAGGAAGCAGGAGAGAGGAATGTGGTTTTACCTGAATCAGACTGAAGCCATTGGAAGGCTTTGAGAAACAAGTGATACTGGTCAGATTTGCTTTAAAAGGATTAGTCTGTTGGAGGAAGGTGGGAGGGATAGGTAGATGGGTGACAGGTATTAAGGAGGGCACTTATGATGAGCATTGGGTGTTGTAGGTAAGTGATGAATCACTAAATTCTACTCCAGAAACCAACATTACACTGTATGTTAATTACCTAAAATTTAAAAAAAGGGGGGGTGGCGCCTGGGTGGCTCAGTCGGTTAAGCGTCTGCCTTCGACTCGGGTCATAATCCCAGGGTCCCTGGATCGAGTCCCACATCAGGCTCCGTGCTCTGCAGGGAGCCTCCTTCTCCCTCTGACCCTCCCCCTCTCATGTGCTCTCTCTCATTCTCTCTCTCTCAAATAAATAAATAAAATCTTTAAAAAAAAAAAGAAAAGAAACTTCAAAAAAAGATTAGTCTGGCATCTACTTGAAGAAACTGACTCTAGAGGAGCAAGAGCAGAATCAAAGAGACTAGTTTGGAGGCTGTTGCAGCAGTCCAAAAGAGAGAGAATGGTGGCATGAACAAAGTTGGTAGCAGCAGAGATTACGAGAAATAGGTACCTTTTGGAATTGCTGTAAAGGTGGAGCCAATGAAGATTTTCGTACGAATCATCTGCCAAGAGTTGTTTAATAAAAGAAGTCAAAGATGACTCCAAGGTTTCTGGTAGAGCAGCCAGCCATTTACAAAGATGGGAATGAATGCAGTAGGAATTGGGTGGTTGGAGAAATTAAGAGATTTGTTCAGTGCAATATATCTACCAGGTAATCAAGTGAAGATGAATACTGGGTATACATGTCCAGAGTTCAGGGGGTCAGGACTTGGAATTCAAATTGGGGAAGACTGGACAAGGCCATCTAGGAAGTGAAGTAAAGAGAGAAGTGAAGTTCCTAGACTGTTTCAAGACTGGGAAGATAAGGAAATACTACCAAATAGAGACTAAGAATGAGAGGGGATAGTGAAGTTGTCAGTGAATATGAGAGCACTGTGGCTCAAGAACCAAGTAAATAAAGTGTTCCAAAAAGGAAGAAATGAACAACAGTGATAAATGCTGCACACAGGATGAACAGGAGGAGTACTAAGGATCAGTCGCTGAATTTGGCAATGTGCAGCACTGAAAAAACTTTTAGTAGAGTCATGGAGATGATAGTGCCATCAGAGTAGGTATAAGAGTAGGACATAACCTCTGAAACAAATAATGCAATATATGTTAAGAAAAAAAAAAAGAAGAAGAAGAAGGTAGCAGGAGGGGAAGAATGAAGAGGGGGAAATCAGAGGGGTGGACGAACCATGAGAGACGATGGACTCTGAAAAACAAACTGAGGGTTCTAGAGGGGAGGGGGGTGGGAGGATGGGTTAGCCTGGTGGTGGGTATTGAGGAGGGCACATTCTGCATGGAGCACTGGGTGTTATGCACAAACAATGAATCATGGAACACTTCATCTAGAACTAATGATATAATGTATGGGAATTAACATAAGAATAAAAAAATAAATAAATAAATAAAATTAAATAAAAAAAAAAAGAGTAGGACATAAAGAAGTGGCAACATACTCTTTCAAGGCGACATGATAAAGTGGAGCCTAGGAAATCTAAGATGAACTTAAAAGAGGATGTGGCATTCAGGGTGCTTTTTTTGTCTTCTGCCTTTTTTAAAATATATGAAATATTGTACATCTGTATGCTTATGGGAATGATCCAGCAGAGAGAGAAAAAGCTTAGAGTGCAGAAAAAGAGAGAGAGAGGGGACAATTGCCGAAGCAATGTCCTTGAGTAGGTAAGACAGCATGCATGGCTCAGGCTCTGTGACACGTGAGGAGGAGGAGGCCGGAGAACAGAGGTGGCAGGTTAGTAGAGAGGGAGGCAGGAGTCACAGAACTTCCATTTTCTCGGTGAATTAAGAAGGAACATCAGAAAATCATTTACAGATTTGTAAATAATTATAATTTTAATGCTATGTATATATTATATATAGCAATAAAACTACATAAAAAATAATACAAACATAGAAAAACATTTCAGTAAAGAAGTTATTAACAAAGAAATCCCTACAGAGTTTGCTATAGATGAGCTAAACATTTCTTTAAAAATGTTTAATTATCAGCATTTTCATACTATAAATCTTAATTTTATTAATATATTACACATTAATATTCATATGGTTGTGTGTTATATATCTTATCTGATATTAAAAAAAACACAGCAAGACAGGCTCTGTGAAATATCCAAAAAGTTAAGAAAACAGAATCAATATTAAGTAATATTTGCCACAATTTATAAAACAAACATTTAATCATAAATTCACTATTATATTCATATTTAGAATGTGATTTATACTTATCTCAGAAGAGAAGATGTAAGGATTGATTAAAGTATTAGACCATAAAGTTCTTCTGACCATAAAATTGGTTTTCAGCAACTTGCTTTATTTAAGAAAAAAATCACTAAAGAAATTATTTTGATAAGAAAAAAAGTGATATGTAGTCCCTCTCTAAATTAAATGCTATGTAAATAAACTAATATGTCGTAAAATAAATACAAATCAAGCATAATACAACATATCACATACTATATCACATATATCTGAGGATATTCAAAAATAATTTATCAAGAAAAATTTCTGTAATCTATGTAAAAATATCAAAGATGACTTCAAACTCACTAAAACTATTCTAATACTATTAGATAATTAGGAATCAATCTACAAACTCCAGAAATACATTAATACATTTCTCAGTAAAACCAGCATTTTCTGCATAAGATTTTTTGGTTTTGTTTCATGTGTGTGTGTGTTAAAGAAATATCCTGGCCTTTTTATTTCTTCCTCTTTATTCACTCACACTTAGAATAAGACTGAAAAGTGTTCAAATGGGAAAAAGATTGTTACATAACTATTAGGAACAGGAAATAAAATTTACTACCAACAGACCTGCCAATAAAATTATTGCCAATAAAATTACATTAATGGTATTCATATTTACCATAAGGTCCATAAACTACTTAGAATTATATAGGAACAGAAAATACACATATTTCAGGGAGAAAGTACAAAGGCTTTCATAATATTTGTTTATATACCAAAAGAGTTTAGGGCCCACTGTCACAAATGACAAATAGCATGAGAGAATTTCAGTAAACACATCAATAGCATCATAAGAGTAAGGGTTATTTTTCCTTCCTGATGGCACCCAAGGCATAGGATATAAAAGACAGAAAAACAATCTCCTAGATAATAACAAATATCAAATGAGAATTTTTCCTCCATGTTTTCAGGGACAGTTAGGGAAAATACAAAGACAAAATTCCATTAGCTACTGTTAACCCACAGTGCAGACTTTTTTATGGTTCATAGAAAAAATTCCTACTACATTCACACACACACACAAAATCTTTTTCTTTTTTTTTTTTTTTTTTGGAAATGGACAGAAAATAGTTTAGAATTTGAAAAAAAAAAGCTTTCTGGGCTATATGGTCTCCACTGTGACTGACTAATTTTGCTGTTATAGCATGAAAGCAGCACAGACAATACCTAAAAGAAAGATTATGGCTATGTGCCAACAAAATTTTATTTATAAAACAGAGGCAGACCAGACTTGTTTGCTGACCTTAGATTTAAAGAATTTACTGCAATTACTGTTTGAAGATTGAAAGACAAGTCCAATTTTACTGCCCAGGTGTTTTGGTTACTTTGAGGTTTTTGTTTTACAAATTAACAATGGGGAAAACTTATTTGTCAACTTCTGTAAGATTAAATGAATTCGTAGCAATGAATACTATAAATGTTTTTCTCCATAATAAAAAATGATAAAAAATATACTTGATATTCCTACTGTCCTACTATGCAGAATAAGCAAAGCTTTTGGATCAAAGTAAAAAATGTTTCATGTGAAATAAAAATATTCAATACTGCGTAATCTTATTAAAAACAGTTTGTAAGTTTATAACAAGCTGGCAGCTAGGGATAAGGATACAATTATTTGAACCACAGTATTACTAAACCCATGTAATAAAGAGATAGATGAATTTTACTTTAAAATTATTGTAATATACTAAGTAGCATGCTTATATAGGGGTTCCATAAGTCCTAATACCATTGTAGTTTCCTGAAATTTCATCTCAATTCAAACTGCTAAATCTAAAAGGATAACATGATACAACAAGCACTTAATTGTTAAGAGTATACTTGGTTCCAGATTTCTCAATGGGATGATCATTTCACACTTTGGGCTGGACAAAGATGTGAGTACTAGTCCTAACACACCTACTTAGAAGAAAAAAGAACTGAGCCACATTAATTTTTCATTTCATTAGTAATGTAAATTAATCATCTACCTACTTTTACAAAAATGTATTTTCTAATACATTTGTAATTATTTCTTAGGGACATTTTTATAAAAATCATTCACGCAATTTCCAAATTTAATAGGAACACTATTATTTTACTACCATCAAACTTGTTCTTTTTCCTAAACTGTATTAATGAAAAATGGTTCTCTTCATTAAATTTATTAACTTTAGATATGCAATTTAAAGTAATAAAACTGATTTCTTCTATGTACATGGTCTCGGTAGATGAGAACCAAAAAAAGCAGCAAATAAAAATTACATCACAGTCAGATTAGTAGAAATTACAAATTGCTCCTTATATTTAAAATTAGGATTTAGTCCCAAAACACTACAAACATCTTTCTGTATCATAGTATTCCCTTCCCATGATATAGAATGGTTTTAAAATGGCTCAAACATATTTTTATATCCAATTACTTAATATTATTTCATTAAAGAATGTTGGGCCTCTGAAAACATGCATGGTGACATTCCTACCATTGTAAAGGAATAAAAACAGCATGCCTGCTGATTTTCATAACCAATAAGTTATTAAAATTTTCAATTATAACAAGAAAATCTGTGTTTAGGCATCATTTGAAAATATAATTCTGCTTCTTTCTTTTTTTTTTTAAGATTTTATTTATTTATTTGACAGAGAGAGAGACAGCGAGAGAGGGAACATAAGCAGGGGGAGTGGAAGAGGGAGAAGCAGGCTTCCTGCTGAGCAGGGAGCCAGATGCGGGGCTTGATCCCAGAACCCTGGGACCATGACCTGAGCCGAAGGCAGACGCTTAACCACTGAGCCACCCAGGCACCCCAATTCTGCTTATTTCTAAATGAAGAAATATTTATAGAAAAAGAATCAATCAGTTGTATGAGTAGGGAAAGGCAGGCCATTACACTAGAAGTAAAACAAATGAAGTAGTAATCTTGGTAGGATGTCTTAATGCAGGAAATATTACCTTTAATAATTATGCAGAATATATTAGAAAAACATTTCATAAAAGAGCTTTGTATTATATAATCCTGGGAGATATTCCACTTTCTTGATTTTTGAAAATCCCTCAAATTTGAATATTTAGGAAGGATTTTTAATAAAAACTTCTTTTACATTGATATCTTAATTATGTGAGAGAGAGAGAGAGAGAGAGAGAGAGAGAGACTGTGTGCGTGTGTGGTAGTTCCAGTGATAGGGATGGGAAAGGCTTCCATCCTTTTCATCCATTTTGTATAAGCTGAGCAACTTCAAGTCCTTTAAGACAGTTAAAAGTGTACATGTTAGCATCCCTAGGTAACTATTTATCCAAATAATTGTTTACCATTCAGACTGAAAGCAATCGAGAGTTCTGGTCATTCCCATCTTGATTAGGAAATTGCAGAGAAAGTCTTCTATCACTTCAGGTGTTGGTTGCTTTGAAGGAAGGACTGTTTTCTGTTCCTGAAATTTAAATGTGCAATTATTTATTTTGAAAATATAAAATCATCACTAAGCTTTGATTACTGGTACAAATAAGCTGTTCGTTTATTCATTCACTTGTTCATTTTTTCATCTATTTTCGTTGAGTGTTATGTTCCAGGGACTATTTTAATCACTAGGGATAAAGCAGTAATGAATTTATACACTAGATAAGACTCGGTCTTCATATCTAATAGTCAAGTAGATGGAGAAAGAAAATGAATAACTAAATTAAAAATATACAATATGGCAGATGGTACTGAGTGCCTGGGAGAAAAAAAGCAGAGGATTGAAGGGAGAGAGAGCCAAATGTAGGGCAGATATGTGTGTGGAGCTGGGCTGCTATATATATAGGGTAATGAAGGAAGATTTCACTGATAAAGTGGAATCTGAGCATAAATCTACAGAAAGAATCATGTTTCAGTTATAGCATCAGCAAATTCAAAGACCCTGATGCAAAAGTGTGACTAGATTATCTAAAGAACAATAAGGTCAGCTTGTCCTTTCAATAGCATAGAACACATTAAAAAAAAAGAAAAAAAAGTATGGACCTTTAAATTCTTTCAATTATTATCATTATAAAAAGAAATATAATGAATTTTGGTACCTTGAGCTTTAGAAACACTATGATACAGAAGAATTATGTGCTTTCTTCTATGCTATGGAGTGGCTTATCTACCATTTCATAATGGAAGTAAGTCTATCAGCTATATCAGGGGTCAGCTAACTGTGTAAATAAAGTTTATTACAACACAGCCATGCCCATTTGCTTACATATTGTCTATGGCTGCTTTCATACTACATGAGAGAAGTGAGTTGAAACAGACAACTTATGGTCTTCAAAATCTAAAATATTTACTATATGACCCCAGAGAACAAGTTTGCAGACCCCTGAACTAGGAAAGTGGAGATATTTCAGCAAGTGAGATATGAAATTAGGACAGCCATAAAACTACCATAAGTCAATGTATAAAATAAGTCAAATAATGGGTAGACACTTAAAAATATCAAAGCATCATTGTTTCCAGAGTGCATCCATTTTCTTCTCATTGGCAAGAACTTACCAATCTAACTGCTGATCGTTTAGACAGACAGATCTATTTTCATATATGGAAACTCAACAGCAGACTTTCTTTCCTCCTTCCCCCTCTTAACATGGTAATGGTTACAGACCAGGTAAATGTTACACACCTGGTAACAGTTACATAGAAATGCAGTAAGGAAAGAATCTTTTGCCCTAAAAAGTTCTTTTCAAAAGTGCTATACATAATTTAATGCTGATCTTAATTACTAGTAGCTGCTACAACATTCAAAACAATGATCAGATGAAGCAAATTTGGGAGGCTACCGAAATTTCCTGACAAATGACTAGGGTTTTAAAATAAATTTTAACCCTCAAGCAGGATAATTTGGAATAGCTTCCCTGAGGTCATTTAATTTTAAAGATTTTTATTTATTTATTTGTCAGAGAGTGGGGTGGAGAGAGAGAGAGAGGCAGGCAAAGGGAGAAGCAGGCTCCCCACTGAGCAAGGAGCCCAATGTGGGACTCGATCCCAGGGCCCTGGGATCATGACCTGAGCTGAAGGCAGACGCTTAACTGACTGAGCCACCCAGGCGTCCCTCCTAAGGTCATCTTAAAAGATTATATAACAATGTTGATTATGTGCAGGACCCTATATCAAACATGGAAGATGCCAGGGTAGCAGAATACAGCATCCCCGCCTTCAAGTCTGAATTATGGTGGAAGATTATGTATAATTGCTTGATAAGGGTATAATATGGCTGAAAGTAAATATTCATTACACAATAATAAATGCTACCTTGGCATTTTTGGTCAATAAATTTGAATATGATATTTAGAATGAGATGGATGATAGTTGAAGGAATTGGGAACAGGGGAGGAAAAGGAGGACAGAGAGACTGTACTTTTTTTTTTCTTTTTATTTAATGTGTTACAAAACACATTTTAATATCTGTATCCAATAACAAATTCTGTACATTAGTGTTAAAAATCCTTGGTTTAATATCCAGTGAGATTAAATAGGCAGAGTTCTGAAGGAAGGTGTCATTTGTTGTGAAGTTATGTAAGAGTAACCATGATGTAGAAAATGACAATCCAAAAAAGAATAAATATGACTACTTACTTAAAGTGAAGGTGTACGTACCCCTTCGGATCACTACGTTTGTATCTTTGGGGTAACAAACTGAGGGTTCTAGAGGGGAGGGGGTGGGAGGATGGGTTAGCCTGGTGATGGGTATTAAAGAGGGCACGTATTGAATGGAGCACTGTGTGTTACACGCCAACAATGAATCATGGAACACTACATCAAAAACTAATGATGTATGGTGATTAACATAATAAAACAAAAAAAAAATTTTTAAATAAATAAAGTGAAGGTGTAATGATAAAGACACAGAAGAGAAAAAGGCATAACAAGTGATAGGACAGCATTTAGTATGTAAAACTTAAGTCTCACTGCTGAACTATAGATTGTGTTCAAACTACACAAACAACAGGTTGTGTTCAATTCTCACCAAAATCTGAATATCTGTAGCCTGTTCCTGGACCATCTGAATTGCTTTTGCTAGATCTTCTTCACCTTCTGGAATGCTAAAATTGTCATCTGATATCTAAATCAAAGAGAAAAAGACAGGAAGAGCAAGGAGGAATATAAAAACACCTTACTTCATTTCAGAAATAATTTTTCTCACAAAACAATGGACCAAAAATTACACCTTATGTAAGACACCATGTCATTCTGAAGTTCTGTGACAAATGAATCACTAACAAGCAGGAGGCTTTCTGACTTCCTTGTAAACATCACTCAATGTCACCTCTGATAAACTCGGGATCAGCTTATGGGTATTAACTTTTACGTATAAAGACAAAGGTAGTCTAACAACTCTGCTGAGAAAAAATGTAAGGCCACTTCTTTTTCATAAATACTAGCAACTGCCAATCTCTAGTTTATTAAAAAAAAAATAAAATAAAACTCACTGCCTAGATGTTAGGCTCTTGGAAGAATGCAATTGACTAATTATGACATTAATGATAGTTAACACTTAGCATGTGCTTCTTATGTGCTGATCAGTACTATGCCTTTTATCTGAACCCTTCCAGTAATTTCATGTGACACATATTCATATTATCTCTATTTTACTACTACTAATAAAAAGTTTATCTACTGTTTGTTCTGTCTTTTACTTGCCCAGGCCACAAACTTCCTGGCTTGCTTCCACAGTTGTACTTACTATGTCTGTCATCTAGGAGCGACTCTATGCACCAAGTCTCGGAAGTAATGATAGGTCCCATCTGAACAGTGAATTAAAGGGAAGATTTAAGACAGGAACTACACTGCACAGAATTATAGTTAAGCTGAAAGGAAGCATGGGATCTGAGTTGCAGCCAGTAGTGGGACTCTAGGAAACCCATCCAAGAGCAAAATGGCTATTAGGGAATGCCTGCTGGACAGAGATGACAGTCTATAGTAAGGATCTACAAAGCAAGGGAGAAGGAGCTAACTTCGAAGCACAACTAACAGGAAAACCAAAAGAGCCAGATGCCTTAACCAATCCAAACTTTCAAATAGAACTTTCACATTTCACTCTTAAATAGCTGATATTAGGTAATTCAGTTGAAAAACTAGCTCTCTTAAGGAAAACAAAAAATAAAATAAAAGGAATGTTTCATAAGAATGACTAGTGCATTTACAGACTAAATACCTAAAATGAAAAAATTACCTCTTCATATTCATAATCATCTTCAGATGCTTCAGTTATGGTGACCTCTGAAATCTTGTCAAGTGTCAATCTCAAGATATATGGAAAAAATGATTTATTTAAAATTGATTTGATGTTAAAATTCAGTATCAGATCCATTTATCTTACCAAGTTGGTAAATGTAATTTAAACTGTTTTTAAAATTTCTCTTCCCCATACAACCTACAAATACAGATACTTTAAAACAAAATATTTTTCATTATTATTTTAAATTATTGTTCTACATAACCCAAACCCATGAAAAACTACCTTCCCATATGTCTATTTACTATCTAATGATTTCCAATTCGATTCTAAGGCTTACAAAAATGTACATGGTATAATAAGATAACATAAATTAGAAAGAGATAAGAAAAATGATGGACAGGAAAACTAGGGGCAGTAAGTTTTTTAAATCTATCTCAAACTAAGTTAATTTCCCAGAGCTCCTGAGTCATGCACAGTGCACTCTGACTTCTTTATTTAAAGTACAATGAATTTTTCAAAAGCACACCAGTATTTAAATATAAGCAAAAAACATATTTCAATGTTTTCATAATAAAAGTTACTTTAATCTCTACTGTTTTATTATACACTTCAATTTTAAAATTAAATTTTATTCTCGGGAAAGGAAGCCTAATTTTTAAGCAAATGTAAACTATACAGTAATCATAATTCAGTAGTTCATAAATTACCAAGAAATAAGCATTAAAATACCAATGGAAATGACTCTAATAAAAAATTCTAACAGTACTGCTGTAAGACTTTCAAAAATTACAAGTTACTTTAATTACAAATGAAAACTTCAAGATAGCATTTAATTTTGAAAGAAATCACAACACACACCAGTAACATTATTTTGTTGGCTGGTAGGTTTACATTTTTTTCCTAATGTACACACGTGACTATGCCAAGTTCAAAATGTATGAAGTTAAATACTTTAACATACAGTAATGGTTATGAAAATCAAAGATGAGATTAGCCTAGCTTTCATCTTGCTGCTGGTTATGAGAAATCCTCTTCCAAGAGCTAACTAAAAGCTTATATAACAACTTATGCTATTTGTAGTATGAACTGATATTACTTACAAAGTATTTAATAAAAGCCAGGCACTGTCCTTAAGGGCTTTACATAATGAATCAACTCATTTCATCTTCATCCTACCTGCAAGCTATTATCATCTCCATTTTGTAAATCAGGACTCACAGGCACAAGGTCACACAGCTAGGACGTAACACAGTTGGGAATCAACCCTAGAAGTTAGGTTTCACGACGCTATACCTAAACCTCTCGTTATTCCATGTTCGTTTTCTATAACTATGTAAACACTTGAAGTGTTTGCCAATTATCTTGCACACAGTTCTAAACCTCTAAAAGATAGGTTAGGCAGTCTTGTTACTCAGCTCCATCATAAGCTGTAAGTCTTCACTGTTTGCTTTATCCACTTGAGGAGACATTTAAGCCTAGTTCAGTTATGACCAATCCTTAGGAACCTGACACCGTCAAACAAGAGTGTATCTCCCAAAAATATGGTGAAAACTAATTTAAGCTCAAAAAAATAACTAGTTAATTTAACTAATTAAACAGCTAATTAAAATAACTAATTAAATGACTAATTAAAAACTACTGTGGTAGATTAAACTACTCCAGACATAAAAAGTTGCATACCTGCAGCTGATCCTATAACTTTGAACTTACCCATACTGGGTACCAGGACTGAGTAACTACCTATATTACTTAATTACTGCTATGGAACACTTTCCAATAGCATTGGCCTCACCTCACTCTCCTTCAATTCCTTGCCAGCAGTCTTCTGAGAGACCATGAGGCTTCCACTAATAGTCTGTTCAAGATATTTTAGCTTTCACCACTTTTCAGGTACCAAAATCTGTACTTTTTATTACTGTTGCATAACCAACTCCCCAAAACTTAAGGCTTAACAATAAGCATCCATTATCTCATGGTATCCATGGTCAAGAATTCAGTAGCAACTTAGCTTGTGTATTTTGATCTGGGGTCTCTCTTGAGGCCTCAGTCAAGATGGCGGCCAAGGCTGCAGTCTTCTGAAGGCTCAACTGAGGGAAGAGGATCCATTTCAAAGATGGCTCTAACATTGTTGGCTGAAGGTTTCAATTCCTTCCCATGTGGGTTTCTCTATAAGCCTCTTAAGCATTCTCAAGATATAGTGGCTAGCTACCCCCAGAATAAGAAATACAAGAAAACAAAGTGGAAGCCACAATATCTTTTATGACCAAGTCACACATCATCATTTATTCACTATCCTATTGGTTACGTAAGTCAACCCTCTTCAATACATAAGGGAACTATACAGGAGCATGAGGACCAGGATGTGGAGATCACGGGGCATCATTTTGAAAGCTGGCTATCATAACACCTTAAGGGGTTTCAGGAGTATTAGAAGAGTTAACGTAAGTAAATCATTTAGAATGGTGCCTGGCTTATAGTTAATGCTATGCAAGTATTTGTTATTATTTTCCTTTTCTAGAAAGAGATGAGTACCTATGGAGAAGTCTCATTAAGTCTCTCATGGCCCAGTTCCCCCATGCATTAAGATGAATGGATTAATAAAATACATTCTAAATCTTCCTCCTTTCTAAATATATATTTTTCTGATACATTTCACTTAATTAGATAAAATTTCCTGAGGTTTAGCTACAGGAAATCGGTCTCTTCTTTTACGGAAAAGAATGCCCTCTTCTGCATGACAGTTACTAAAACTTGATTTTGTAAGAAATCACTTGTCTTTAAGTCTCCAGAAAAGCAATGCCATCCTTCATCACTGCTCATACCATAATAAATTTTACAAGAAGTAAATATACTAAAATCATTTGGATAGACTTTAAAATTGTAAATAAGCCAACTGATAAGATTAACATGAGGAAGAAACATCAAAGCATAGGTTGTTAAACATGGCAATATATAGAAGATAAAAGTGATTTGTCCTCAAAGCTTTGCAAATATCAAACTTGCCACACTGCTACCCAGAAAATACTTGAGGCAACAGCTTCAAACCCTAATAATATATTCTGTTTCCCCAAAATCAAAAAGAATGAAAAAATATCATTTTATAAAGCTTAAAAAGTATTGTCATATGGATCACTATCATATTTATTCTCACAACAATCTGTGAGACTGAATAACACAGATACAGTCATTTCTAAATCTAAAAAAAAAAGAAAGAAAATGAAAGAGGGAGATTAAGAAATTTGCCAAAAATCATATACCTATTAGTGACAAAGACAAGTTTCTGGAATAAAAAGATCAGGAATTTTCTACAATATCATATTTCTACAGTTTCTACACTGTTCTACAGTAACACAAAAAGAATGTGCAATTCTACCAAAATCCTAGGCAATGAACCCTCACTTACTTTCCAAACTCTCAAGTGTTATATTACCAACAGCTAAATCAAATCATTTCCATAGCTCAATTTGAAGACCCTAAAGGAGGGAGAGGTATAAAAGAGCTACAGGGCTACAGACCCAAAGATAAAATCAGCCAAGGGCAACAGATTAATGAGACAAAAGGTCAGGAAGAGGACAGACATCCAAAATAGGAACCACTATTTTCCTTGATTGGTATTTTCAGTATCCACAAAAATGATTTGTACAGAAAATCTTCCCAGGAGCAACTGAGTTGAAATGTGATGTTGCAGTGTTACTGAAGAAATAAATGTACTTTGGCAAGTATGTTTGTATGCATCTGTCTATCTGGCTTAGCTGGCTAACAACACATGGACAAATGCACAGGTGAATCCCCCAAACGACTGTATGGCAGTTTACAAATACACATATAGTACAAAATATAAAAGTAAGTAAATATGAAAATTAAAAGAGAAAGAAAAAGAAGAGAAATACGACAAAGGTAAAGCTGCAGTACATGCCATAAAGTCTCATGAACTTTGTCAAACATAAGCCACAGGTTTGACCCAAAGCTTCCCAGCAGTCAGGGTAAAGAGGGGAATGTAATCAGATACCAATTCAGTCTCCATCCAATGAAAACAGATGAGTTTCTCAGCAGATGTACACCAATTTCTGGTTCTGAAGCCTGAGAGAAATTACACTCTTCAGTTCTCATAAAGAGAACACTGTGGAGTATACAGATATTGATTCCCTTGGCCCTTGGGACAGCCAGAAAGACTGAGTGAAGCAAGATCTGATGAACACTATGTGTAAAAAAGGTTGGAAAGCACTGCTCTAAAGCAGTGTTGCCAGCACAGGCATAAGCAATTGACCAAGAATTGCTTGAATGATAAAAAACCCTTCACTCTCTTTTTTTTTTTCACTTTTTTTTAATTATGTTATGTTAATGACCATACATTACATCATTAGTTTTTGATGTAGTGTTCCATGATTCATTGTTTGCACTCTCATTCTACTTTTACTGGACAACTTTCTCATGTGTAATCGAATCTCTTAGGTGATCCTATTCTCCAGGAAATGTCCATACAATTAAGCTGGTCCCAGTTCTCAGGCAAAGTGATTTTTTTCCATTGCAGAATAAGCCAGAATTCTGGCTTAAAATCAGTTTGCTAATGCCAACCTGATTCTGAGCCCTTATAAAACTCCCTTCTTATTATCTGCCTACTATTCCTTCAGAGAACATTGTTGAACTCCATTTCCAAAATTCATTTTTTCCACCCTTTCTATTCCCTTCAGATATAGTTATTGCCTTTCAGCCTGTTTGAGGTTAACTTGACATTTAAAATTGTGCCTGGTTTTCTAGTTTGCCCTTGCCCAGGGTACAGTCTGTGATTCCCCTTTCTGCCTGACCTGCAGCCACAGCCCATAGCAGCACCCGCTTCTAGGCCAGCTTCCTTATCCTTGAGTCAGAGCCTACACTCAGACCAAGGGTCTCACTCCACATCTCCACTTGCTCTGGAAGAAAGCAGGATTGTGATTTTGCATACAATGAATCCGTTCCCTGGCACTTGGTCACCATGGGTGAACTAATTGGTAGTTTCTGCACTAGCAGAATTTGTACCATTTCCTGACCTTGTAGATCCTATCAGAAAATAGGCCAATATATATTCACACTGAAACTGCCAGGAAACTCTAGATCTATCACAGCACCACAGAAGACACAACTGCAAGAAGCCTCAGAGAAGCATTTCAGCTGGCGTAATGGAGCCGAGCTTGAGGTCACAGTTGATACATCAGGGTCACAAACAAGGTTCTGCAAATGGACCAGAGACAGGAAGCTATGAGCAATTTTCAGATGTGAGCACCATACAAAGTTCCTCACACACTGGTCTCTTCCACTGCTACACTGGAGGTAGTGATCACTGCCAGCAGCAGCATCTTTATAAAGAACTGGAGTGAAACATATAGCTAATTATATTTTACGTGATTTCCCAAAGCTACTATAGACAGAAATCGCTCTCTAATCTTGCCATCACTTCAGAGCCAATACACACAGAGGCGATCTAAAATCTAGCCTGGATCCTCCATAATCAACATTTTACAATTACTAAGTTGAAATAAAAGTACTGTAAATAGCAAACATCACAGTCAGGGTTCCCTTAGGAATGCCAGTTTCAATAATGGAAGTTAACTGAATAATATATACCAGAGATGGCAAATAACTGGCACACTTGCTTCCACTTCCCCCATCATCTGTTTTCTGCAGTCTTTCCCACTAAGTCTTCAGGAGGTTTCAGAACTTTTATTAACACCACATACCAGAGAGTCACTATCAATTCAACAGACTCCGCAAGAGTGGAAATTTATTGACGACTCCTGCCCCAGACACCACTGCCATCTTCGGCCTCAGAAGCTGGAAAATAACCTTTTTTCAAAGGTTTTTGCAAGTTTTTTCAAGTTTCAAGTTTCAAGTCTCATTGTTCTCATAGTGGGTGGTGGTTTTAAGTTCTTCCAACTTCTAAGCCAGGAGATCCAAAGATATGAGCTCTACATATTATACCTCTTATCTGAAAATATAAAGGCTGGTAGTTAAGAAACTCGCCTACAGTCTTGTTATTTCAATTATATTCCTTAGACCAGCAGCACCTGCAGCCCCTGGGAGCTTGTTAGCAATGCAGAGTCTCAGCCCTGACTGGGACTTACTGAATTAGAGTCTTCTTTTAAACATCCATATTCTTTGATCCATATGCACATTAAAGTTTGCCTAGACTAGAGGACACACAACAAAATACAATTTTTTCTTTCATGCAGGTAAAATTCAGCACTCCGGGTTTAGTAACATGTTTTTTGGTCTAGATTCTACATTCAGACTCTCTATCCTTTTATTTGAATATATGTAGGCTGCAACTAAGCACCAGGGGCAAATTCATTTTTCCAATGATAATAAGAAATAGATGACCTAAGTACATTATGATTATTAAGGCTTTTAAAAATATCTTCTCACGTGATACTATAAACATTCCAGAGAAGTAATATAACATGGGGAAAAAAAATCACTAAATGTTAAAAATAATAAATAGAATTTTAAATGACAAAAATTCAATTTTTTAAAGATTTTATTTATTTATTTGACAGAGAGAGAGATCACAAGCAGGCAGAGAGGCAGGCAGAGAGACAGGGGGAAGCAGGCTCCCCACTGAGCGGAGAGCCCGACAAGGGGCTCGATCCCAGGACCCCAAGATCATGACCCAAGCCAAAGGCAGACGCTAAACCGACTGAGCCACCCAGGTGCCTGACAAAAATTCAATTTTAATTAAACAAAGTGATTAGTGAACACTACTATTGCAATGAAAGATTGTCTAGGATGTCATTTTAAGAAAACAAGCATGCATCTTATTACATGGGCTATCTAAGTATGATCACCATATTTCAAGGGACTAGTGGAATCTTTAATTTTGCATTTTCATAAACAATTGACTTTGGGACTGCATCCAGAGTTGATTAGCTTCAAAGGACTGGCTTAAACTCACTCAACCCTCAGGAATTGCTGTTGGGGCCAAAGGAGGCCTTTTCAGTGGCCAGCAAACTTATGTCTATGATCTAATTAGCCAAATTCTTAATGTCGGAATGCCTTGAAAGATAAAATAATCAAAATCTAGTTAGGGGAACAGAGAATCAGTGTAAAACGAGGTATATAATAAAAACAATACTTTGCGGGGGGCCCTTGAGTCCTAGAGTCCATGTAGTCCATTATTCTTCCTTGAACAAGTCTTTTGACAAATAGCAACCAAATCAATTAAGAATTAGCTTTCTTAGTACAATTCATTCCAGCCTGCATCTCCCAGTTAGACTGAGCATTCCCAAATGTCCACAGCCACACATTAACTGCAGTTCCTACTGCAACTGAAAACCTTACCCAAGTAGTACTGATTTCTAATACAGAAATCATTCACAAAGGACAACCAACCTTTACAAACACTTGACCCTTTACAAACACATAGTTAAAACCTAGCCTTATATTTTACAATGTTGCAAATATCTTTCTAATGAAGAGTTCTCCAGAGAACTCATATACTCTGTAAATATATTTCTTTAGCTAGGAAAGGAACTACACACATGTGTGTTTGTATCTTGCCTCCTGGAAGTTTAAAACATAAAAGCAAAGGTATCCTGAACTGCTTCAGAAGAGAAACAGATAACTCCTACCTTTACAGATAGTAGGTTACAAAGAAGGGATGTTGCAGGGTTAAGAATTCTTTTTCCTGAACACATTTTCTAAATTCATAATGAGGCCTTTACTAATGAAACCATCCCCCTCATGGTGGATCCTGGCTGTTTCTGGTTTGGGTCCTATTAGTCTGTACATGTTCTTTATGTTCAAATGTTTAACAGCAAAGAAAAGGGTGACTTCCTGCGGAATTAAGAGTCAACCTCTTTCAAAGACTTAATATTGATATCTTGTTGTCTAGTGTTCTACAGAGCATCTGTTCAGTCATAAATAAGGGAAGCCCAAGACCAAACGCAGTAGATTAGAAGTGATTAAGTATATGTGCAAAGTAGAGAACATCAGATTTCTGATTCATGTGTGCATATTATAACTTTTATTTATCCACTGCGATAGCTCAATTAAATTACCTGAGAGCTAAAGACTTTAAACTCAAGAAAGTCTCACTTCAGCAACTATCATAATTGCCTTAAGAAACAATGTCAAATAACATTTACAGTCAACTCTTAATTATGCATGTTTAGAGAGCCCAGGGATACAGGGATAATTGGTATTCTAAAGTAATCCTCAAACTTCATTTTAACTAAGAGTTAAAGCCTCTCTCATGACTCATGACTAAACCTCTTACCTAAATACTGAATGCAGGAAAATTGGCAAAATATGTAGTTTTGCTATCCCTTGGTTACCCTTTGGTTGAAACTCAAAATATTAGCCAACTAAAGAAAGATGGAAGAAAGGCAGAGGGGTCAGATAATTCAGAAATTGGATAATAAAATTCTAAGAAGTTAGAGTTGCTTATATTTACAAATGTGATTATTTTGAAAATTCTTTGTAAGACAGGTTTTGTGCAAACTGCTATATATCGGCAGTTGTGACTCAGCAATCTCCCTGAAAATTAAGTAAACCTAAAAGCTGTGCTATATTGAAGTCCCACAACTTGCAAAAAAGTTAACTTAGTGTTTGTCTCATATTAACAATTAATCTATGTGTTACAGGAATCATCTTAATGTAGACAAAAATAAGATGCGTGGTTACTATTCACTACCAGGGACACTAGATAACTTTATACTTGATGTAAGTAAGTTCTGAAAGAATTGTTGACTCATATCTGAATTTAAAAAGGAATATTACTGGAAAAGGCAGCTATTTAGAGCTATGAAGAGTATAAAGCCTCATCTAAGACACTAAGGCAGCCAGAGAGTTCATTTAAATTGATTTTGAACTACTCAAACTTATATTCCTATAAAAATGTTTGCATTGAATAAAATACTACGTATTTTCTTTGATCTTTCCAACTAAGTTCTTCAAAGCTCCCTGAAGCACTGGTATGTACAGAGCCTGAGTCAGGACAGGTGAAAGTTTGCCAAAGCCCACAAAATGAATCACTGTTAGATCTCTGAAGTCTTGACTTAAAACTGGGGGATTCATAGTTGGACAAAAAATAAGGTAGATTTTAGAGTTTCCTTGATATCTTTAAGAATAAAACGTATAATCGTCTCTCTCCTACCAGCCTGAAAAAAGTAGGTATCTTTTTCTCACCAACTCTCCGATCTCTCCAGTACAATTAAGTGTAAATGCCTAGAGGGGGTGAGCTCAAAAGCCCTACCAAGAAGTAGTGAATCTAATTATTCACATATTGCTATTCCATTTTTCTCATATTTCCATGGATAATTGTTCATCACTGTCTGATTTCTTCCTAACATCTCTTGAGCCTTTTTCAGCTCACCAGGTCATCATTTAGTGGCTTTAAAATAAAAATGTAATAATTGTTAATTATTAAATAGCCAAAAATGAAACTACCTAGAAAGTTGATGCTTACAAAACAAATCATTTAAGCACTGGACAACTGAAGCATCTACAGAATCACAGGCTGAATACTCTGAGGTTCAGCTCGTTAAAGCCCAAAGGCAGAGAGGTCTTTCCCTGGCTCCTAACTTTCCTGAATTGATTCCCACGGTATTCTGAAGCCTGGGGGCTTACAAGCGAAAGGAGGGTTGAATCAATTTGTTGTACCACCTTAACATAAAACTTCCACCCAAAGTTTGCAGAGTGGTTACTAAGTACGAGATTCCCAAAGGTTCTTCCAACAGGAACACAGCAGCCTAACGCTCCTAAAAGGCCAAGTCTTTTCAGCGGGGAGCTATCAGGGGAACACGGCGGCGGAGACGCCACCTTGAGGTCCAACAGGGGTCTTGCCGGCTGGGAGGCCACAAACCGCGAAGGGCGCCCCAGATGGGAAGCCCGCGCCCTCGCCCCCAAACCCGTTACCAAGGGGAGCGCCTGGAGGCCGCGGCTACACGTAAGGATACGCTCCAGGTAGTAAGCGCCCTCGGCGGCCACCGCCTCTGCGGTGTCCCCAGCAGCCGTCAAATCCATTCCCAGCGCTTCTTCCAGCACCCGCAGAGCGGAGGCGGGGGTCCCTTGCTTAGCCGCCATCGGAGGCGCTCCCCGGCCCCGCCCCCGGACAGCCTAATCCCTCCCTGAGAGCAAACGCGAAGACGCTTGCCAGCGACTGTACGCAGCTCTCGCGAGAGTCTGACACTCCCTCCCTGCTCCCACCAGGCAAGCTCCGCGCTCGAAGGGCTGCCCCCGCCCTAGAAGCGTTGGTGCCCTCTGACCTTCACGAGTTACCACGGCAACGTCGTTGCCTAGTTATCCTGGGACGCAGTTCCTGGAGTGGATGAGAGGAGAAGCAAGAAACAGTTGGCTTGGATTACATACACGTTTTCTTGCCGAACCAGCTTGGGTTTTTTTTTTTTTTTTTCTTTTTTTGTCCGTTTCGACCCTAGCATTTCTTTCTCACTTCATTTTCTTCCCTAAGTTGTCTCTCTCCTGGTTCTTACATGCCCATCATCAGCCCCTTAATTTTAGATATGTGGAGACCCCCAGGTGACCCCAGGGAAGACTCCTGGAAAAGGGAAAGAACCTCAGAGCCAGGAGGAAAAAAAAAATTTATAGAAATCATTATTGAGAGACTGACTCAGGGGAACTAACCTCAGTCGCGTAGCAATAAAGACCTAGGGAAGTCACCTTAGTCGATTTCCTTCTTGGGCTCCTTTAAAATATTTATCTGGACATCTGTTTTGACTTCGATTTCATACACTGGGGCTTGGAAGAGTATTTGTAGTGTTGACTGGTGAAGAGAAAGACACTTCATAAGAACTATGAGCTACAAATGGTCCTAACACAATGTGTTATAAATGGTATTTGCCCAATCATGTGCACTCCTTTTGCAATGACAGACGCTTCCTCAGTTTTGTATTGTGTGTATATAGGACGCATCTGCTGGGCCTTTTTCTTTGCAGATTCTTTTCCATTCTGTGTTTCTTGATGGAAACTGGATGCCATATGTGGAATATAAGAAACAGCACAGAGGATCCTAGGGGAAGGGAGGGAAAACTGAATGGGAAGTCATCAGAGAGGGAGAAAAACCATGAGAGACTCTTAACTGTAGGACACAAACAGGGTTCCTGAGGGGAGATAACTGGGTGATGGACATTAAAGAGGGCCCGTGATGTGATGAGTACTGGGTGTTATAGGTAACTGATGAATTATTGAACTTTACATCTGAAACTAACGATGTACTATGTGTTGGCTAACTGAATTTAAACTAAAAAAAAAAAAAAAGAAAACTGGATGCCAAAGAGCAATTCATTATAAAAGCTCCCATTTGTTATCAAAAAAATAATACTGGTAATTTCCTAATGAGGTGATTGAGAGCCTGGGTGTTGGAATCAGAGAGGCTGCATTCAGAGCCTGGCTCCCACACTTACTAGTTAGGAAACCTTGGGCAAACCACTTACTGCCTCTAGCCTCAATTTCCTCATTTGTAAAATGAGTATAATAACATAATCTACCACAAAGCATTGTTGCAAGGGGCAAAATATAAAGAATTAAGAACTTACCAGGCACAAAGTGGACACCAAGAAATAGATGTTTTTTCTATTGAGTTAATTGCTTAGTTTTGTTATGTTTTTTAGAATAACCAAGGGTCACAATTAGTCATAATACTCCCTCATTTCATGTATCTATTATTTTGATAACTTACTCTTTGTCCTTGATGTCTCACATCAAACATATCCTCGATGTTCATTAAATGCAAGGAAAAGTTATAAGGGACTAAAAATACAGGAGAGGAGCTCTGAACTTAGGGAATCTGATGCTTTTGTAGAAAGCCTGCTCTTTGTTCCAAAGGAGACATTACCTCATACCCTCAAGTTTCTTCTGTAAACACTTGCCTGAGAAATGGCCTGGGTAAAGAGTGGTCAGGGCTTTGCACACCCAAGATATGAAGGAGCATAAGAGAGCCAGGAAGGAAGGTCTCACTGAACAATTAATGCTTACTTTGATTTTGTGTGTGTGTATTACATTGGCTGTTGGCTGTTCTTTTTCTTAGCTTTTAGATGTAATATGTGTCATGTTCTACAGAAGGTTTGAATCCTGGCTCTTCTGTATAATCTTAATTAACTTAAGCTCTTTGAGCTTTAGTTTCCTTTTCTTTAAAACAGATATTTTAATACCTACGTTAATAAAATACAAATAGTAAGTGAAATTTCTTCTTTGGTAAAATGTCTATTCACCTCTTCTGTCCATTTTTTAATTGGATTATTCATTTTTGGGGTGTTGAATTGTATAAGTTCTATATATATTTTGGACTAACCATTTATCAGCTATGTCATTTGCAAATATCTTCTCCCAACCTGTAGGTTGCCTTTTAGTTTTGTTGATTGTTTACTTCACTGTCCAGAAACTTTTCATTTTGATGAAGTCCCAATAGTTTATTTTTGCTTTTGTTTCCCTTGCCTCAGGAGACCTATCTAGAAGGAAGTTGCTACAGCCCATGTCAAAGAGGTTACTGCCTGGGTTCTCCTCTAGGATTTTTATGGTTTCAGGTCTCACAGTTAAGTTTTTCATCCATTTCAGATATATTTTTGTGTATGGTGTAAGAAAGTGGTCCAGTTTCATTCTTTTGCATGTTGCTGTCCAATTATCCCAATACCAATTGTTGAAGAGACTGTCTTTTTCCCATTGGATATTGTTCCCTGCTTTGTTGAAGATTAGTTGACCATAGAGTTTTGGGTTCCTTTCTCAGTTTTCTATTCTGTTCTATTGATCTATGTATCTGTTTTTGTGCCAGTACCATATTGTTTTGATCACTACAACTTTGTCATATAACTTGAAGTCAGAATTGTGATGCCTCCAGCTTGGTTTCCTTTTGCAAGGTTGCTTTGGCTATTTGGAATCTTTTGTGGTTCCATACAAATTTTAGGATTGTTTGTTCTAGTTCTGTGAAAAATAAAAAAATAACACAAGAAACAACAGGTGCTGATGAGGATGTGGAAAAAGGGGAGCCCTCTTGCACTGTTGGTGGGAATGCAAACCAATACAGTCCTGGAAAACAGGATAGATGTTCCTCAAAAAAGTTAAAAGTAGAACTACCCTATGATCCAGCAATCACACTACTAGGCATTTATCCAAAGAATACAAAAAAACTAATTCAAAGAGATACATGCACCCTAATGTTTATGGCAACATTATCTATAATGACCAAATTATGGAAACAGCCTCAACTGATGAATGGATAAAAAGATGTGGTATATATGCACAATGGAATATTACTTAGCCATAAAAGAGAATGAAATCTTTCTATTTGCAATGGCATGGATGGAGCTAGAAAGTATTATGCTAAGCAAAATAAGTCAGAGAAAGACAAATACCATATGATTTCACTCATATGTGGAATTTAAGAAAAAAACAAACATGAAAGGGGAAAAAAAAGAGAGGGAGGCAAACCAAGAAACAGACTCAGCTATAGAGAACAAACTGATGATTACCAGATGGTAGTAGGTGGAGGGATGTGTTAAATAGGTGATGCTCATCACAACAAGTGTATGGAAGTGTTGAATCACTATATTGTACACCTGAAACTAATATTGCACTGTATGTTAACTAACTGGAATTTAAAGGAAAAACTTTTAAAAGATACATAATAGTAAATGAAATGGCATATATAAAAAGCACTTATCACCATATCTAGTATATCAAATATTTTCAACAAATAATTGTTAATAAAATTGACTTAAAATGTTGAGTGATATGCTGATCCCAAATTGGATATTATATTTGTAAGAAACTTACATATATATATATAGGAACATTTTTAAGACAAAACTTAAATGTTTTTAGAAGCATGCAGCTCTCAGAGCATCTGGGTGGCTCAGAGGGTTAAGCGTCTGCCTCTGCTCAGGTTGTGATCTCGGGGTCCTGGGATCCAGGCCCACATCCCACATCAGGCTCCCTGCTCAGCTGGGAGCCTGCTTCTCCCTCTGCCTGCCCCTCCTCCTGCTTGTGCACACATGTACTCTCTCATTCTCTCTCTGTCAAATAAACAAATAAAATCTTAAAAAAAAAAAAAAAAAAAAACCTTTATAGAAACATACAGCACTCAAAAAAGGGGAAGGTTTTAATAGAGTCATAAGAAAATAAATAAATAATGGCCATTATCCACCACTTCAGGTAGAGGAAAATTGGGAAATATTCTTGTCAAAGAACTTTTTTTAATTTTTTTTAAGATAAAAGAGCTCTTTAAAAAAAATTGTAACTCAAAGAAGTATCATCACTGCCCTCCTCAAAAAAAATTTTTTTTTTAATCTGGAAGTCTCATTCTCTAAAAGTTCCAAATAACCAAAGTTTTACTTCAGAGTTCCCAATTTGATTATGTCAATTTCATGGATTTTAAGTTGAGAAGTAACCCAAGATATTTTTGGTTCAAATATAATTTGAACACATTTCCCAGGGACCTACGCTACAGTATATTTAAAGTTCAAATTAGAAACATTTTTAATATTTTTTAACCTTTAGATCTCTAAAATAAATGTGTAATTTGTTAAATCAATGAAATAAAAGCAAAAATAATCTTAACAAATGTAAACAGAACAAATAATTGCCTTCAGATAAAAAACAGGATACAAATTTTTGTACTGACTGCTAATATCTTAAAACTAGTATGTCTTTGCAAGGGATGACTTTTAAAATATTTTTATATTGGAATTATTCTGTTAATTGTTGGTTTAATTTAAAAAGGGTGTGAATGCCTTACTAAGAAAAAACAAAAACTTCAGATCATAGTAGTGGTTTCAGTTATAATGCTGTCATGTAGCCTTTCTATTCTATATTCCTTCCTTTCAAAAAATATTTTACAAGCTTCCTTGAAGTGGGGAAAAAGAAAGTAGCTTCACATTTTGTTGAATGAATGGCAAGCTCTCTAGTTTCCTCTTGAATATGTTCCTGAAAGAGGTAAATAAAGAAAACCAATGGAGACAGTCAATATAAAGCAACAAGTACAAAGGACAACAGATTTTATTTGATCCAGCCTAAATGCTCCATTTTTGTAAAAGTGAAGTTATTTTTAAAAGCAAAACCAGGAAGTAATTTGACAATGGATTTACTCTCCCTATTTGTAGTTTCAAAGGGGAAAATATTCATATTCAAAAATATAG